TCTCTTTCTAGGTGTACCCTTTCCTCCCACCCAACGGCTTACTTTGAAGGAAGTATTTGAGAATGGGAAACCTAAAGTTGATGTTCTGAAAAGCCATCTGGTAAAGGAAGGACGGCTGGAAGAGGAGGTCGCCCTGAAGATCATCAACGACGGGGCCGCCATCCTGAGGAAGGAGAAGACGATGATAGAGTTGGAAGCCCCGATCACAGGTTGACCTTTGTCGCATCTTGGCTCCTAGGTCTGAGCTCGTTTGAGAGGTAGTTGTAAGTAACCAGCCGAATTGCAGGACTGTTTGGTCAGCAGGTGGACCGCAGCCACAGAGCAGTCCAGACAAAAGCCAACGTGATGGGCCAGCTTGTGGCTTGATGTTAAGATGGCCGGATCCTGGGACCAGCAGTTAGCGTAATGGCTATGTCACTGGACTCCCATGTAGCCGACCGCGGTTCACGTCCCAGACCTGGTGGCTTAAAACTCACGCCGGGCGCGTGTGCGTGCGTGCCCAAGATCCCGAGAGGAGAATGGAGAAGAAGGGATTGCGGTGTGGTCATCCCCCCTGGGGGGTGATTTCTCGCTTTCTGTCTCTCTGTCTCTGTCTTTCTGGCGAGCACACGCGCCCTATAGTGAAAAACCTCTCCAAAAAAAGAAAAAAAAAAAAAAAAGATGGCCGGATCCCACGTGGTCAGTCGCATATTTAAGTCCTACACTTGGTGACCTAAAGCACACTGTTGTGTGTGGGCCCCAAATCCCGCAACCAGGGGGCAGTGGAAGAGAGGGCTTGCAGCATGACCGGCCCAGTGGCTGCGTCCTCTGCCCTTCCCCTCTCTGACATGCTCACACACCCTCTGCAAATAAAGCTGAAGCGATGTCAGTGGGAAGTTAAACTGCGGCCCTTATTGGCATGATGGAGCTCTCCTCCTGACGTGATGACTTTTCTCCTAGTGTGCGGTGACATTCACGGGCAGTTCTTTGACCTGATGAAGTTATTTGAAGTTGGAGGCTCGCCGAGTAGCACACGCTACCTCTTTCTGGGTGACTACGTGGACAGAGGCTATTTCAGTATAGAGGTAAACATTGAACTAACTGTGTTGGGGCCAGCAGATTGTGGTTTTGAAACTGGGCCTGACCCAGGGTAGGCACTTCGTATTTGTTGACTGTTGGGGGCCGTCTCTGTGGCACAGTGGGGAAGTCTGCTCCAGAGAACCTGGATCCCAGGGCCAGCAGGTGGCATAGTGCTCACATTGCTGGACTCCCACATAGCACACTGCGGTTCAAGTCCCAGACCCAGCAGCTTGGAACTGACACGTGCATGCTTGCCCAAAAAATCCCAAGAGGAGAATGGAAAAGGGATTTCATCATGGCCATCCCTCCCCACCCCAGGGGGGTGACTTCTTGCTTTCTGACTCTCTCTCTGCTTTCTTCCCCACCCCCACTCCTACCCCCCGCTCTCTGGTGGGTGCACATGCCCTGTGGCAAAAACCTATAAAAAAGAAAAGGTGGATCCCACATGGTGACTGTAGTTCAAGTCCCTGGCACAGTTACCTGAGACGCACCGGGCAAGAGCCCAAGATCTGCAGGGACAGGAGACTGGGGGAGGGGTCTGCAGCGCTGGGGGACCAGGGAAGAGGATCACGGGGTGACCAGACCCTGTGGAGGTGCTCGTCTCTCACTTCCTCTCTCTCTCCCTCACATGTGTGCACATGCTCTATCATGAATAAAGAAAGGAAATCATAGTTTGTACTTGACTTTATCCTATTCGATATTTGCTAATATAAAGGGGGTTTAACTGTCTTTATGGAATATATAACGGATCGTTGGACTTTGATCCTTTGTACCTCAGGTGGTACAAAGTTGTTTTCCGGTCTTTCCATTCTGCACATCGCTGAAGTCGGCGTGGTGCTGGCTCCGCCTTTGCTGGTCTTTCTGCCTTGCCTTAGCTCAGGTTCTTATCAATGACGGGACTGGACCCAAGAGCACAGCACGTTCAAGACTTCCGATACATATTGCCTCGTGGTTTTCACTGAGTCTGTCTTACCTTATGTTCTCTTTATACACTGAATTTTCTTGAATTGAACCTATGAAGCACGATGAATGTTTTTCATGCCCAGAGCAAGCATTGATCTTTCGTGGACTATGTGGGCTTTGACTACTACGCTGGGGACGGATCCAGATGTTACTGGTGAAGCAGGCCAGCAAAGCTGACTATCCTTCGAGCCTTTGATGCTCTTTCTTCATCTGGATGCAATAGACAGTCCTGACTCCGCGGGAGGGGGTACGATGTGTGTGCGGGGAGCTTTGCCAGAGAGTTTTAGATATTTAGCTAGAACATGGGAACAGAAATTAAAGATTTCTGTGAAGGCTACTCTATGGTCTGTCAAATTCTAGGGCAACAAGGTTATCACATTTCCAAGGTGGGAGGTCTCATTCTTCAGCTTGGGAACAGCAGCGAGCTACACCTTTACCTCGTCATTGACTTTGTAGAAATGACCTGTATGCATTCTCATGGCCACAAAGAAAATTTTATCCTTGAATTTGCCTTCCAGTGTGTGCTGTATTTATGGAGTCTAAAGATTAATCACCCCAAAACATTGTTTCTCCTTCGAGGAAATCATGAATGCAGGCATCTTACAGAATATTTCACCTTTAAACAGGAATGTAAGTATAATCACTTCTTCAGAAGCTTTTTGGTTACTCTCTAGCCTGTCCCAAAGTGACTCAAGGAACTGACACGTGCATGCTTGCCCAAAAAATCCCAAGAGGAGAATGGAAAAGGGATTTCATCATGGCCATCCCTCCCCACCCCAGGGGGGTGACTTCTTGCTTTCTGACTCTCTCTCTGCTTTCTTCCCCACCCCCACTCCTACCCCCCGCTCTCTGGTGGGTGCACATGCCCTGTGGCAAAAACCTATAAAAAAGAAAAGGTGGATCCCACATGGTGACTGTAGTTCAAGTCCCTGGCACAGTTACCTGAGACGCACCGGGCAAGAGCCCAAGATCTGCAGGGACAGGAGACTGGGGGAGGGGTCTGCAGCGCTGGGGGACCAGGGAAGAGGATCACGGGGTGACCAGACCCTGTGGAGGTGCTCGTCTCTCACTTCCTCTCTCTCTCCCTCACATGTGTGCACATGCTCTATCATGAATAAAGAAAGGAAATCATAGTTTGTACTTGACTTTATCCTATTCGATATTTGCTAATATAAAGGGGGTTTAACTGTCTTTATGGAATATATAACGGATCGTTGGACTTTGATCCTTTGTACCTCAGGTGGTACAAAGTTGTTTTCCGGTCTTTCCATTCTGCACATCGCTGAAGTCGGCGTGGTGCTGGCTCCGCCTTTGCTGGTCTTTCTGCCTTGCCTTAGCTCAGGTTCTTATCAATGACGGGACTGGACCCAAGAGCACAGCACGTTCAAGACTTCCGATACATATTGCCTCGTGGTTTTCACTGAGTCTGTCTTACCTTATGTTCTCTTTATACACTGAATTTTCTTGAATTGAACCTATGAAGCACGATGAATGTTTTTCATGCCCAGAGCAAGCATTGATCTTTCGTGGACTATGTGGGCTTTGACTACTACGCTGGGGACGGATCCAGATGTTACTGGTGAAGCAGGCCAGCAAAGCTGACTATCCTTCGAGCCTTTGATGCTCTTTCTTCATCTGGATGCAATAGACAGTCCTGACTCCGCGGGAGGGGGTACGATGTGTGTGCGGGGAGCTTTGCCAGAGAGTTTTAGATATTTAGCTAGAACATGGGAACAGAAATTAAAGATTTCTGTGAAGGCTACTCTATGGTCTGTCAAATTCTAGGGCAACAAGGTTATCACATTTCCAAGGTGGGAGGTCTCATTCTTCAGCTTGGGAACAGCAGCGAGCTACACCTTTACCTCGTCATTGACTTTGTAGAAATGACCTGTATGCATTCTCATGGCCACAAAGAAAATTTTATCCTTGAATTTGCCTTCCAGTGTGTGCTGTATTTATGGAGTCTAAAGATTAATCACCCCAAAACATTGTTTCTCCTTCGAGGAAATCATGAATGCAGGCATCTTACAGAATATTTCACCTTTAAACAGGAATGTAAGTATAATCACTTCTTCAGAAGCTTTTTGGTTACTCTCTAGCCTGTCCCAAAGTGACTCAAATACAAAGAAAAAGAAACTGATGGAGCTCAGTGCTCTGTTTTGTTCAGTTTACCTTTTTTTTTTTTTTTTTTCTGATATGAACTAAGATTCTGCTGTTTAGGACATTTATTTTTAAAATTACTTTTTGTTGGGACCAGCAGTTAGTGTAATGGCTATGTTGCTAGACTCCCATGTAGTCGAGTTCTGCGGTTCGAGTCCTGGACCCAGTGGCTTAAACTCACGCTAGGTGCGTGTGCGTGCCTGCCCAAGATCCCGAGAGGCGAATGGAGGAGAAGGGATTGCGGTGTGCATATCCCCCTGGGGGGTGATTTCTCCCTTTCTGTCTGTCTGTCTCAGTCTCTCCAACAAGTGCACACACCCTATAGCAAAAATCTCTCTCTAAAAAAAAAAATGTCAGTCTCTCCAACAAGTGCACACCCCCCATAGCAAAAAACTCTAACTAAAAAAAAAAAAAAAAACTTAAAAAACAGAAAAACTCATTTATATTATTTAGGAGTAGATAATAATGAAGAAAGCTAGTTATGGATACCTTTGTTCTGAATTACAGGGTTTTTTTTTCCCTTAAGGTGACATTTTATCTCATTTTCCCTCTGTTTTTATCAGAGTTCTTGGCAAGTAGAATTGGTTCAGCCTATTTTTAGAAGGTGGAACAATAGATTGGGAAACAGTTTAAGGTCTCATTTTGCACAGCATTTAACTCAGGTTTTTACCTGTTCTTCACATACTTGGACTGTAGCTCACCTGGTTCCCTTCTTTTTCTCCTGTCTACCGAGATACTTCTGTTTCGTTTTAATGCTGCATCAGGGATGTAAATAAGCATTGGGAAAGGACAGGTCCAAGCACCTCTGTTAAGATCTGCTCCTACACAAGGGAGCGGACGGGTGCTGCTTTGCCTGGTCTCTTCGTGGGCTACCCTGACTTCTAGAATTAGCACCATGTAATTACTGCTGAGCAACGCTCAGTTCCACCTTGTGCAGCTGCAACTTAGTGTTCCTAAGGGGTGGGTGGAGGCTTTTCTCCTCTTATATCAATTCCTTTTTTTAAATCCAGAATGTGTTACTGGGATGGTTTCCCCCTCATCTTGAGTCAGGATGCTCTTAGTGCTGCGTCCTCCTGAAGGAGCATCCTTCTGTCAGCCTCGCTGTTGCCCCTGTAGGCCGGCAGAGGACAGTGGAGCAGTCAGCGCACAGAACTACTGTCTGTGCACGGCTAAAGACGGTGGTGGTTGTGTAGCCTCCCAGGCACTTCACGTCTACGAAGTAGGAGTTTGGGCTCTGCACCAGGCGCTTGTGTTTCCTCGTCTCCTCTTCTGGAGAGGGGTGAAGGAGGTCCTTTGAGAGGCATGTTCTCGTGGGGAGGCGGTCACTCCCAGAAAGACTCAATCCTTCAAGTTGTTTCAGAAGGCAAAGGTTATGTTTTGTTTTGTTTTTTGTTTTTTTTTTTTGAGAGAGATTTTTGCTATAGGGCTCATACGCTCACCAGAGAGACAGAGAGAGACAGAGAGACAGAAAGTGAGAAATCACACACATATACACACACACACACCCAGGGGGTTGGCCACACCACAATCCCACAATCCCTTCTCTGTTCTCCTCTCGGGATCTTGGGCATGCACGCACATGCGCCCTATGTGAGTTTGAAGCCACTGGGTCCGAGACTCAAACTGCAGTCTACTATGTAGGAGTCCAGAGACATAACCAGTAAGCCATCTGCTGGTCTTGAGATTTTAATTTTTTTAATACTGGTTTTTTCTTTCAAACCCAGATATTGATCATTTGAAAGACAAAGAGAAGTACTGCAGCTATTTTAGATGCGTCTTTTGTATCTGTATTCACACAGCTACTTTGTTACTGCTCTGTGCTCCCAAAGCCAGAACCCTCCTGCCTTTAGGATAGTCTTATCACTCTGGGTCCAAGTTTCTAAAGTAAACCGATACATTATTTCTACCAATCCTCTAACCACTCTGGGTCCAAGTTTCTAAAGTAAACTGATACATTATTTCCACCAATCATCCTTTGATACATAAATAGATTACTGACAAGGCTCACAAACTTCTGTAATTTACAAGTGGAAACAGTATTGTTCTGGCAAGTCCATTTTAAAAATATATATATTGTTATTGTTAATTGAGACATTGTTTAGAGTAGCAAAAGACTGGTCAGATTTGACAGTGGTATATACATAAAGTGATATACTATGTAGATGTTATTAAAAAAAAGTTTAGGGGCTGGCAGATTGCATGGTGGTTAAAGGCACTGGATTCCCACATGGCTAACTGTGGTTTGATTCCTGGACCTGGTGGCTTGCTTTCTCGCTTTACCTGTCTCTCTCTCTCTGGTCAAATTAAAATAATAATAATAATAAATGGAATTAAATAAATAAATAATTTAAAAAAATTTTTTTTAAAAAGTTACAAATCTCTTATAAGGGAAGCAAAATTTTACTTTGCCTTTTCAGGATTTTTTTTGGCTGAATTAAATTGACTTAAGACAGATAAATTAGGAGAACACATATACATTTATTTAATACAAGTTTTACTTTATGCATGAGCCCTCTTAAAGAAATGAAGACCAAAAGACACACTTAAGAGTTGACCACTTAACTGCACAGTAGTAAGTTGTGAAAAAGTAGACTAGATTACATGGAGAGGCTACAAGATAAGAGTTACTTAAATAAGATCTGTGCAGAATTCTCTCATCCTCAACTTCCTGTCATTCTCTCACCCTCAACTTCCTGTCCTTGATGAGAAGAATGTTATTTTCCTTTTAGTACAGGGAGGGCATTAATCATATGTGACTTTCATTCACTTGCTTTTTAAAAACAGCTGTGTGGGGGGCTGGCATGTGGTATAGTAGTTAAGGTGCTGGACTCGCACATGGCCGACCGCGGTTTGAGTCCTGCACCTGCCAGCTTGCTCTCTCTCTCTCTCTCTCTCTCTCCTGCTCTCTGTCTTTCTGTGTCTCTCTCTGATCTATTTGAAGAATGATAAATAAAATTAAGTTCTTCTTTTTATTTATTTATTTATTTGGAGAGATTTTTGCTATAGGGCACGTGCGCTCACCAGAAAGACAGAGAGAGACACAGAGACAGAAAACGAGAAATCATCCCCCCGGGGGGGATGGCCACACCACAATCCCTCCTCCTCCATTCTCCTCTCCGGATCTTGGGAATGTATGCATAAGCGCCCGGCGTGAGTTTAAGCTACCAGGTTCCGGACTCAGACTACATGGGAGTCCAGCGATGTAGCCATTACGCTATGTGCTGGTCCCCCCAAATTAGATAATTCTTAGAAAAAAGAAAGAAAGAAAGAGAGAAAGAAAGAAAGAAAGAAAGAAGGAAAGAAGGAAAGAAAGAATAACGAACGAGCAGAGGGGCCAGCAGGTGGCGTGGTGGTTGAGTCTTGGACCTGGTGGCTTGTTTTCTCACATTCCCTCTCTCTCCAGTCGAATTTAAAAGGTAATAATAAATAAGATTAAATAAGTAATTATTTAAAAAGAGAAAGAAACAGAATGAAAGTCAGAGCCATCTTGTGCATGCTTTTCAAGTGCTTTTAATGCAAAATCTCAATAGCCAGTGTGCCAGAATAGCATGTTTTACGTCCTTCACTTTCCACGTAAGAAAGAATGGCGTGGCCTCTGAACTATGTCAGAGGTACAGAAAGCAAGAGCAGGGCAATGCACGCACAGTGACATTACGTAAGACACAAAGGGATGTTGGAAACGGATCGAGCGTCTTTGCAGACACCAGGAGACTAGTAAGGTTGGTTGCCTGCATGGAGGGCACGGAGTGCTGCATGCCTTTTTATAGTTTTTTAGTTTTGAATTATATGAACGCATTACCTCATTTTTAAGTGAAAGCAAATAAAAAATGGAAACAAATACACAATTGCTGTACCAGGTTGTGGCTTCTTACAACTAGTGCTGATTCTCAAACTTGCTTACAAAGATTTGTCGAAAGATCGTTTTGCTAATGTATTATTGCTAGTTTTTATAACTTGCATCAGTGTGACCCTGTGCTTGTGGTGCACTTTTTCATTTGTCATAGAAATCGAGTTAATCTTTGAGCAGCATGGGGCTTGTGGGTGCCAACCCTCACACAGTGAAAATTTGTTTATAGCTTTGACTCCCCCGAAATTTAACTCCTAGCCATTTCTGCTGTGAGTCTTACCATAATATAAACAGTTGCTGTATTCTTTCAATAAAGCAAGCTAAAGAAAAGGTTATTAAGATAACCTAAGAGAAGACACCTTTATAGGGGACCAGCAGATGGCATAATGGCTATGTTGCTGGACTCCCATGTCGTCGACCACAGTTTGAGTCCCGGACTCGGTGGCTTAAACTCATGCTGGGCACATGTGCATGCATGCCCAAGATCCCAAGAGAATGGAAGAGAAGGGATTGTGGCGTGGCCATTCCCTTTGGGGGGTAATTTCTCACTTTCTTTCTCTCCATCTCTTTCTGGTGAGCACATGCACCCCATAGCAAAAACCTCTCCAAAAGAGAGAGAGAGAGAGAGAGGACGCCATCACAGCACGGCACTGTGGTTTCCAGCATAGTCAGTGAAAACAGGCTGCACATAGATGGGCCCCGCAGTTCAAGCCCGTGGCGCTGATGGAGATTCCAAGAGGAAACGAGCCACCTCGACACCGGCCATATAAGTGACCTGCCCCCTCCCCAACCCCCAGGAGCTGCAGCTCTGTTCTCAGGGCCCTGCAGGCTGCGTCTCCTGTTCCTAGACTTGACGAGGAGAAGCTGGCATCCCCCTCCGGACTGCCCGCCTGTACAGCTCCGGCCTTCTCTCCCAACACTCCCCTCCCCAAGCATAGCTTGACCTTTTCAAACCCAAGGCCAAGGAAGAAGAGAATGTTCTTTCTTCTCTTTTCAAACAAATCTGTCTTCTCATTTCCCATCTATTATTTCATGACTTTTCATTTCTAGAGAATTGTGGAGACCCCTCCCTCTCAACAGGGTTTGTCCTGGTCTGTAATCCCAACTCGACAGCTACATCCAAACCAATCCATTAAGCCAAACAAATGGAATCAGGACGGAACTTGCTTACAGACCTTAACAATCAGAAGCAAGAAGATTATTGACGTGTCATTGATGGTTGTGAAATGCCACTTACCCCAAGGGGAGCTGTTAAGGCCCAATAGAATATTCAGACTGATAAAACTACAGTGGCCCAGGCTCGGCACCCCAACTACTTAGAAAGACGTGGGTCAAGAGGAGCAGCACCTGACCTTCCTTTTCAGTGGGGTGGCCCTTTTAGGGGTGCACACAGCAGCCCAGCCCTCTCTTGCCTCCTCCTGTCTCCCCACCCAAATCACAACTTGGACGCAAAGAAACAATCGCCACGGCAGATTAGTGAGCAGCCCTAGTTTAGAAACTTCTTGTGTGGCACGCACCAGTTTCTTTTGTAAAAACTTTGCTGGCATAGGCGGAGGGTCCCACAGGGACGTAGCAGTTCCGAGTCACTGCGCTCGGAGGGGCCCAGAGCAGTAGCTCCCAGCCAGGTGACTGGGTCCCTTTTACTGCGAGCCCTGTTGGCGTCATAGCACAGTTAACCACCGTCAGGTTTCCAGGACAACAGAGCTGGAAAGTTCTCAGAGGTCATGCTTGTCTTTAGAGAGAAGGGAGGTTTTTCCTTAACCCTTTATCTGCAACTTTGATCAAATGTCTTTACAAAGATGATTATGTTTGCAAATGTACCTGAGGAAAGTGGGTCCGAGCTGTCGCAGCTCCGTACCCGCCCCTCTGTGCCCTCCCTCAGTGTAATCCGTGTTATCAGTTCTGCTTCCTCTCCCTGGCAGGTCGGATCAAATACTCTGAGCAGGTGTATGACGCGTGTATGGATACATTTGACTGTCTGCCTCTTGCTGCTCTGTTAAACCAGCAGTTTCTCTGTGTACATGGAGGAATGTCACCTGAAATTACTTCTCTGGATGACATCAGGAAAGTAAGTAAGCCTTGCTTGTTCTCATAGAGTATAATTTTGAAAATCGATTTTTGTATGTGTGTACCTGCATGTGTGCATGGGCAGGCATGAACAGTATTTCATTAGATGGGGTCTTGCTGGGTTATGGTCCTCCTGCCTCAGCCCCCTGAGAAGCTGGGGCCACAGGCACACGCCATCGGGTCCCGCTTACAGGGTAAGCAGCTGGGAACGGAACCTGGGCCTCAGGCCCCAGCCCCCCAGCAGCCGCGTCTAGTCTAGCACGCACTACTGCAGCCAGGGCTACTTGTTTTCATTGCAGTCAACTAATGTATCTTTAGTCAAAATTTTAAAAATGTAACACGAAAATTTTTAAAAAGGTAATTATGTGAGATCTTATCATTGTGAACTAACTAGTTACCATTTACATACATATATATATGAGTTTACCAGAAAATGTCTGTAATTTTTTACGAAATCTGCTTTTACCAGTTACAAACATAACATTCTCAGCATATAGCTCTGAAACGTTACATTGTGTCACAGTGTGGAAGAAACTCAGTTTTCATCTCCGTCCTGCCATGAACTGTGTAACCTTGACCACACTCAGCCTCTCAGTCATGATTTTTTCTCTGTGAAAGGAGGAAATCGGAACGGATGGTTGGGACTCTCCCAAGTCTGAAATTCATCGACTCTCACGTTCTGGATGATAGTTTAATTGCTACACTTGTCTTACTTGAGGATTGTTGTTTTCTTTTTTTCTTATTTTTTAAAGAATAATTTATTTAATTTTATTTTTTCATTCATTTTTATTTCTAATTTGGCCAGAGAAAAACACAGAGAGAGAGAAAAAGTGAGAAAGCAAGCCACCAGGTCCAGGACCCGAACCGTGGTCAGCCACGTGGGAGTGTCCACTGCCTTAACCGCCACGCCACCTGCTGGTCCCCATTGCTTTTAAGACTCACAGCAGCATTGCGAGGTAGCAACTACTCTTGCTCATTTTTTTAAGAATTTTTAATTTAATTTCATTTATTCATTCATTTATTTTAATTTGACCAGAGAGAGAGAGAGGCTTAGGGGTGGGAGGGAGCAGTGAGAAAGCAAGCCCCCAGTCCCGGGCCCCGACCCGTGGTCAGCCACGTGGGAGTGTCCACTGCCTTAACCGCCACGCCACCTGCTGGTCCCCATTGTTTTCAAGATTCTCCATCTTGGCGATTGGAAAGATAACCAGTATTTTTACACTTACACTGTTCTACATGACCATCTTCTAGTCTCGTTTTCTTTCTTTCTTTTTTTTAAATTGCCAGAGGATACATGCGCCCTCCAGATAGAGATGAAGAGACAGAGAGGGCGGGGACCCCTCCACAGTGGGGTACGGCCATGGCACGCGCCCTCCACCCCTCCATCCTGTTGAGGTTTCGGTGCATATACCACAAGCCCGGCGTGTTTTTCAAGCCAGGGTCAGGATTCAAACTGGCCCCCCTAACCACTCACCACGGAGCCAGCCCTGTCTTCTCTTTCTGTCCTTGTGTTCTCTTACCTCCCTCCTTTAGGTTCAGAAACTGAAGATTTTCTTCTGTTCATAAAGTTCTTCTCTCTAAAGCAGCGTCCCGGTGGAGCTGTGCACGCTAGCTTTTCCCACTGCCTTACCGCCGTGAATATAAGCACGTTTCTCTTCTACACAGCAGGTCCTGGCTTTTACAGGACTGAGTCATGCGTGTTCATCAGAGGCTCCCTCTCCTTCAGGAGAAGTCTCGGCACTCAGCTGTTGGTTACGTTTGCTTTTGGTTTTTATGCTTCCGCTGAAGTCACTGTAGCTAAAGGCTTAAATTAATAACTCACGTTGAATGCCCCCACTGCGTGGACTGGAGAGGATAAGAGCCTTTTACACAATAAAACTAGCTTTCTTCAAAATAAGGAACGCTCCAGTGGAGTGAGGTGCACAGAGAACAGAGTCTCCGTGAAACCTTGCTGCTCTCACGGCAACACCGGCTCACCCGGGCCGTTGGAAGGAAGTCCCGTCCCCCGAGAGTGCGTCCTGCAGGGCCTGACGGCTACATGAGTACCGCCACACAGCTCGCACACACGGCCTCCTGTCCTGCAGAGACAGACGGCTACATGAGCAACGCCAC